TTGATTTTTGAATGTTGAACCAGACTTGCATACCTGGGTTAAATTCTACTTGGTTGTGGTGTGTAATTCTTTTTATATGTTATTGGATTTGATTTGCTAATATTTTCAAAAGATTATTTATTTATTTATTTGAGAGAGAGAGAATGAGAGGGAGAGCACGAGAGGGGGAAGGGTCAGAGGGAGAAGCAGACTCCCCGCTGAGCAGGGAGCCCGATGCGGGACTCGATCCTGGGACTCCAGGATCATGACCTGAGCCGAAGACAGTCGTTTAACCAACTGGGTGGCTCAGTTGGTTAGCAAATCAGGGGATTTGCTAATATTTTGTTGAGGATTTTACATCTATGTTTATGAGAGATATTGGTCTGTAATTTTCTTGTAATGTCTCTGGTTTTGGTATTAGGGTAATGCTAGCCTCATAGAATGAGTTAGGATATATTCCCTCTGCTTCTATCTTTGGGAAGAGATTATAAAGAATTGGAATAATTTTTTCCTTAAATGTTTGGTAGAATTCACTTGTGAACGTATCAGGGCCCTAAAATATATTTTAATAGCTTAAAAAACTAAACTTTGCATTTTGAGATAATTATAGATTCACAGGTATTTGTAATAAATGATACAGAGAGGTGCTGTATACCCTTTATCCAGTTTTCCCTAATGGTAACATATTGCAAAACTTTTAGAACAGTATCACAACCAGGATGCTGACATTGATATGGTCAAGATGCAGAACATTTCTATTACTTCAAGGAACCCCAAGTCATCCTTTAGAGCCACACCCATTGTCATCCTTTCCCCACCCCTTTTTAACCCTTGGGAGCCACTGACCTATTCTCCATTTCTATACTTTTGTCCTTTCAGGAATGCTATATAATGGGAGCATACACTATGTAACTGTCTAGGATTTTGTTCACTCAGATTTCTCCAGAGATTCATCTGGTTTGGTGCATGTCTCAGTAGTCTGTTACTTTTTCTTGCCGAGTGGTAGGTGCGTGGTATGGATGGATGGCAGTTTAACCATTCACCCATTGAAGGACACCTGGGCTGTTTCCAGTTTTTTGCTATTTTTTTTTTTAAGATTTTATTTATTTATTTGAGAGAGAGAGAGAATGAGAGACAGAGAGCATGAGAGGGAGGAGGGTCAGAGGGAGAAGCAGACTCCCTGCCGAGCAGGGAGCCCGATGCGGGACTCGATCCTGGGACTCCAGGATCATGACCTGAGCTGAAGGCAGTCGCTTAACCGACTGAGCCACCCAGGCGCCCTCCAGTTTTTTGCTATTATGAATAAAGCTTCTGTGAACATTTGTGTGCAGGCTGTTGTGTGAACGTGAGTTTTCATGCATCTCGGTTAAATGTGCAGGAGTGTAATTGCTGGGTTGAATGGTAGCTACATGTTTCATTTTTAAAGAAACTGCCAGGGGCGCCTGGGTGGCTCAGTCATTAAGCGTCTGCCTTCGGCTCAGGTCATGATCTCAGGGTCCTGGGATCAAGCCCCACATCGGGCTCCCTGCTCGGCGGGAAGCCTGCTCCTCCCTCTCCCGCTCTCCCTGCTTGTGTTCCCTCTCTCGCTGTGTCTCTGTCAAATAAATAAATAAAATCTTAAAAGAAAAAGAAAAAGAAAAAGAAACTGCCAAACTGTTTTCCAGAGTGGCTGTACCATTTCACACCAGCAGTGGATGGGTGATCCACTTTCTCTGCACTCTTGTTAGCATTTGGTGGTATCACTATTTCTTTTTTTTTAAGATTTTATTTATTTGACAGAGAGAGACACAACACAGCGAGAGAGGGAACACAAGCAGGGGGAGTGGGAGAGGGAGAAGCAGGCTTCCTGAGGAGCAGGGAGCCCGACGCGGGGCTCGATCCTAGGACCCTGAGATCGTGACCCGAGCCGAAGGCAGACGCCTAACCGACTGAGCCACCCAGGTGCCCACTATTTCTTAATTTTAGCTATTCTGATAGGTGTTTAGTGGAATCTCATTGTGGTTTTAATTTTTATCCCCCTAATGACTAACGATGTTGAACATTGTTTTGTGTGCTTATTTTCCATCTGTACATCATCTTCAGTGAAATGTCTATTCCTATATTTTGCCCATTTTTAAAATCGGATTATTTGTTTTCAAAAACTGTTGAGTTTTGTTGGGTTTTTTTTAAGATTTTACTTATGGGGTGCCTGGGTGGCTCAGTCATTAAGCGTCTGCCTTTGGCTTAGGTTGTGATCTCAGGGTCCTGGGATCGAGCCCCGCATCGGGCTCCCTGCTCGGCGGGGAGCCTGCTTCTCCCTCTCCCACCCTCCCTGCTTGTGTTCCTGCTCTCGCTGTGTCTCTCTCTGTCAAATAAATAAATAAAATCTTTTAAAAAAATTTTTACTTATTTATTTGAGAGAGAGACGGATAGTGACTGTTGCGTTTTGAGAGTCCTTTATATGCTTCAGAGAAACATATCCTTGGTGGGATATCCCTTGATGGGACATGTGATTTGCAAATATTTTCTCCCAGTGCTTAGCTTGTCTTTTCTTCCTCTTCCTTAGTAAGAACTGCATTAATCCATATACACAGTTGGAGAGAGTCAGCCTCTTTACTCTGTTGAGAAGACAAAACCCAGAACTCACCACTGTATCATCCTTGGGTCCTGAGGTCTGCCCTCTTCTTGACCTTTCAGAGTCTTACGCTTGCTTTATACAAAATGTCCAGGCTTGTACTTAGCAAGAGGATCAGGGAGAATTGCATCCGCTGTCTTCCTGAAAGCAGAAATCAGCAACCTTTTCTTTAAAAGTTGGGTCAGAGGTGGTCAAGCTTTCCACTTTCTAGAGCCATCTGTTTGTTTCATGGATAAAATAGGGTAAAATCCAGAAAAATGGAGCACAGAACCACTTGTTTTGCAGTGAATTAAAAACAAAAGTTCGTGGGCTGCGCGTTAATCAGCTTCGAGCTTTCGCGTCTTTCTGAGACCGCCCCTGCTCTAGGACTTCCTCAGCCCCCCACAACTCTCCCTTCCTCCTTCTCCAGGGGCCTCAAGAGCAAGACTCTGTCCCCCTTAGACGCTGGGCAGATACGGGGCGGGGGGGGCTCCCCGTCCTCGGCCCGAGATTGTAGGAGGAAGGTTTTGATGTCCGTCAGCTTTTGTGACCGCGCATTCATGGCATGAAGACAGCTGCCTCCTCAAGGAGGGAAATAACCTCGACATTCTCCTTCCTCTACGCCTCAGCTGGTCATCTGGGTGGTTGTCAGGACGGCCTGTACGTTCTTCACTTCCCCTTGTGGCTGGCGAACTTTCTCTCTTGAAAATACTGCCCTTGTCGGCAACTGATTGGCCCAGCGTGGCTGTAGCCAGTTCCAGCCGCCTTCTCTCCGGGGAGCAAGTGTCCTCCCTAGAGGCCCCTTGAGGACCGTCAGTCCATCCACAGGATGTTGGGCAACCAAGGGTACCACGACCTCTCTCAGTCCCTCACGTCCCTTCTCTGGGGAAGGGCCGAGGTGTGGTCCCTGACCAGCCGCAGCAGCGGGCCCTTGTTGGGAGCGCAAGCGCTGGGCACCCAGCTCTCCCGAACCGGACGCCCTGGAGAGGGGCTACGGAGCCGTGTTCTGACGAGGCCCGCCCACGTCGGAGAGAAGTAAAGGGGATTCAGCGTGAGGGAGGGAAAAGCAGGCTGGTGAGGGCCCGGGGGTCCGGCGTGGCCCGTCGTGCCGAGCCCGGTGGCTGTGCTCCAGCCCTGAGCTGGGAGAGGTAACCTGGGTCTGAGCAGGGCGCGGGCGGGGAGGGAGGAGCCGATGGGCTCGTGGAACCACATGGACGCGGCGGCTTCACGTCTGGGGAATGGCCGGCTTCACACAGAGGGGGGAGGGCCGCCAGGGCTCGGGTCCCTGCCATCGGGGCTTGGATGACATGTCTTTCCGTGGCACTTCTCCCGCTCGGCGGCACCCTGGGGCAGTCACCCGGGGCAGCGTGAAGGACACGGTGGGCCTCCAGACTCTGTGTGCCGCGGTCTGCGGGCCACCGGGGCCCCCCCCCAGGGGTGCTGATGTGGGCCGGGGTCAGAACCACCACTGGCGGGCCAGCCCCCGGAAGGCACCCCTCCCCCACCTCGGACCTGCTCCAGCAAAGGCTGAAAAGCCCCGAGTTCCATTCCATTCGATGCAACAGGAGGGCTTGGCCTCTTGGCCTGTTTGCTCTCTGCATCTTCGGGTGTGATCTCCTGGTTTCTGCTCTGCCGAGTCAGCTGTGCCGTCCCCCCCCCCCCCCCCCGGGCAGCACCCACTTAGCACAGCTCTCCTGCCCTACAGGATCGCTGAGATTCTGGGACACTCCGCTCTCTGCCCGGCCACACGGTTGTACCCCCACATGGCCCTGGGCCTGCCCGCCCGCTGGGTCCTTCCCCCTCGCTTCTCACCTTCACCAGCACCTCGGAGCTCCCTTAGCTCCCCCGGCGACTGTGTTGAGAGCTGCTTGAGGGTTTTTGCTTTCATCTCTCTCAAGTACCAGCCCCCTGTGGACGGGGCTTCTGTCCGGCCGGTTTTGCTTATGTCGGTAATGGGAACAGACTCCCCGGCTTGGCTGCGTTTGACTCACTGACGACTGAGCTACCGACCGCAGACGGCGTCTCAGACCTGCTCTGCAGGGTGGGACGTGGCTTTAAAACTTTCGTCTGCTGCACACGATTATAATCAATCTTTATCTGTTACCACGCACGGTTGGGGGGGGGGGGTGCGCCGTGGTGACAGACACACAGAAGGAAAGAACAACCGAAAGCCGTTGCTATTTTTTATTTTGCTGCTCAAAAGAATGACCAAAGGGGGAAAGCATCTTAACAACAAAACCCTAATGACACAGCATCAGAGCCGAGGGGACAGGACTAGTCAACGTAAGTTGGCACAAGATTTTCCGTCGGGTCCAAGTTTGACCGTAGGCGACACGGCACCAAGGAGCAAGCCCGAGAGCGTGGTCAGGCTTGCTCCTGGTCCTCTGCGGAGACCACAGCCGGCAGCTCAGGCATGTATTCCAGGGCCCCGGCCTCTGCAACAAAGGAGCGCACTTAGCGGAGCCCTAACGCCTGCACCAGGGACGGTGACAGCCCAGCACACAGGCCAGAGCGTCGGGGTGCATCCTCCGGGGGCACTCCCAGGATCGGCCCTGAAATCGAGCGCAACACTTTGTATGTCTCACCTCTTGATGATTCAAGCCTCCCACTTACCATGTGTGTGAAACTATCAGAAGTAGAATTCCTGTTTGAGTAATAAAAATCGGTGTCTCCGAGGGAAAGAAGTTCCGTTTTACAACATTCAAAACAGAGCAAACTAAAAGCCAAGAAGTCCCTGGGGGAGTCGACCTGCTCCTTGCAGGCAAAGTGGCACGATGTCCCCCGGCAGAGAGCTCACTGCAGACTCGGCGAGGCTCCAACAGAGTGAGCTTGCTTATGGGTTTTGACATTCCTAAGTCCTCCTCCACAGTCTCCGTCCCATGAATGGTTCCAAGGAAGAAGCCACAGGCCTTCGACCTCGTCCCTCCCACGCCCTCCTGAGCCCTCCAACCAAGGCAGCAGTTCCAGCCAGCAAAGCGCACGGATCAAAACAGACCCCAAGAATTAGTCTCCACTCCGCCAAACTCACAACAGAATTGTAAAGTGCAGAACTTGACAGATGTGTCTCCTGGAGAATCCAAGCACCCCCTTCCCTGCAGCAACCCCCCATCCCAGTCTCCCTGCGCTTGGCTCCCAGGGCACTGTGGCCTCTGTCCAGACCGCTCTCTGTTGCCCGATGACAAGCCCCGGGCAGAGGTGCCGGGCAGAAACAGGCCCACAGGGAGGCCTCACCGTCTGTGGTATCCACGGAAGGTACCAGCTCTAGGATGGAGACTGTTGAGACGGGCATGCAGCCTGCTCTGCAGGAGGGCTGCATAAGCAAGCACTGGAATCTGAACTATGGGTTAGTTGACCATGCTTGTGAGACATGGCGTAAGACGGCCTCCAAGGAGCTGTAGCCCTGGGATGTCCGGCACTTGTTACCCTGCCAGGAAGTGTGGCTCTAGCAGACGCAGTGGGACGGAGGCCCTCCCTCTCCCTGCAGCTCTGATGACCCTTTCCAGGGCCAGTGTTGGGGCCAGCAGCAGCCCCGGCCCCTTGGCAGCTCTCCCACCCAACAGCGGTGACTTGAGGAATGGGAGTGGATGGCTGGTTACTTCCCAGGAGAATTCTACGGAATCCTCTTTGACAGGCTTTTCATGTGGGCAGGGTTCTAAGAGGTGGAATTTAAAATTGGTAATACTTCACGTACCTTTGAGATGCAAAAAAGTCAGAAACTCGATTATCATGCGCAGGGCAGCCTTCTCGGACAGCGGCCTGGCAAAGCCCCCTAGAAAACAGAATCGGCGTCTGCCACCCGCCGCATGGCTCTGGATCTCACAGCTCCATCTGCGGAAGGCTGGGCATCTGGAAGCCAGTGGACTGGCCGTGACCCCTCCCCAGGGCCTTGCTTAGCACAGCGGGGTGTGGGGGTGGGTCCGTCAAGGCCAAACTCTTCTGAGGCCTTGAGTGACTCTGCCTCCGTGGCCTCCCTGGGCCCCGCGACGCTGGGTCTTGGGCTTGTACTTCTGGCAGATGGCAGAGGGGCCCGGGCCAGGCTCAGGTCGGGGGGCGGGGCAGGGGCCTGATACCCCACCGCCACATGTGACCGGGAGGTGATGGGCAGTGAAGTGACCCAGTGCTCTCACCTGGCCTTGCTTCGTCTTCAGGTGGGAGTTCCCGCTTGCCCGTGAGGCCAGGCTTCTCCTGAAATGATCTGTGGTTGTCAATGGCATCTGTTTGCAAATGAATTGAGAGGAAAGCACCTGACCGGCCTTGTTACTAGAGTTAGACCCTCCCCACTCCCAAAGAAGGACACACAGGTTGCTGCCCATCAAAGCGCGCACACCGGGACTGTAAATATCAAGTCACAGTAGGGAACATTCTCTGCGGAACCACGAACTCGTGCCAGGGCCGGAGGAGTGGCCAGTCCCACAGGTGCTGGGACTCTGCCAGAGGAAGGAGCACCCCCAGCCAGGAGGGGAGTGAAGGGGAGCACGGCGCTCGGCAGAGCTGGCCAGGCCCCGGGGAGTGCAGGCGTCCGAGCTGGGTGCCTCGCAGGGAGACCACAGGGGCTTGGGGTCCTATGTCCCTGAAAAAGGGGGCCACCGAAGAATGGAAGTTCGGACCTATTTTTCAAAGACCTCTCTGGCAGCTGTGGGAGGTGGACTGGAGCCAGCCAGCCAGAGACAGACGGAGACAGCGGGAGGGCGGGGGAGAGGAAGGGAGGCAGGCGGAGGAGGGGCAGGGGGGTTGTTAAGTGACTGTGCGTGCACCTGCGTGTGCGGGTGTGCTCATGCCTGTGTTGGCCACGAGGACGGGGTCGGGGTGGCTCAGGGCTGTGGCTGCTCGCCTGGGGGGCTAGCATCTGCAAGGCTAGACAAAAGAACACCGACTCCTCTCTCCAGAGCCGGAGTTCAGGGCCCGGCACTCAGTCCAAGAAGGCCTGAGAACCTTGCCCCACGGCTCGAGTGTGGTCACACTCCCGCCGTCCGCGGCAGCTGCTGGACCGTGTCCTGCACTGACGGACACCGATGCCTGGTAAAGCACGCTGACAACCTCGTCTAGATGTGCAGCCTCTGCGGATCCAGCTTGACGGAGACAGAAATCTGATAGTAAAAAAGAGCTTGTTTTCTGACTCAAGATTCCTATCTTCGTGATGAATATATCTTCACTATTCCAAAGTAACATGAGTAAGTATCTTTGCTGAAGGGTTCCTTCTTTCTTTTGGGCCAGAAGCACAGAGATGAGATGCCTTCTGACAGAGCTCAGGGTTACAAAGGGCTCGGGAAAGTGTGTGCCCTTTGAGCCCATCTGTCCCTCCTGGGGACAGGCGAGACCACTCCACTCCCAGTGACAGAGTGTGTGGGGGCCTGCCCTTGCTATGACCTGAGACCAGAGCACCCAGAGGCCCTGCCTGTGGCCCCGGCCGGTCTTTGTCATCTCTCTGCCTGTGTTTCTCAAAGCACCCTCCCGGTGATCAGATAGACCACCATCTGCCGCGGGAGAAAAGGCTGTACTCAAGTGTGGGATTGAGAACTAGTCCCTGTGCTGAACAACACCGTTCCTCCCAGTTACGCTGGTGAGAATGGAGTATGACCTACATGTTTGCCTCCTTTCCTGGTGCAGAAAGCAGTACATAAATAGGGGAGGTTTTGTTTTAAGGTTGATGGCTGTCCACAAACCAACCACGCCTGCCAATGTGAAAGCTACGAGTGTGTAAGCGATTGGAGGGGAAAGTAAAAGGTCTCCCCTTGTCCCCTCCTTTAGGATAATTAAAATCTGACAGTGCCAGGGCAGACAGAGGACGAGCAGGAAGCAGAGTGCGGGCAAGGAGCGGCGAGGGGTAGGCATCCACGCACACAGTCTGCGGGATCCCAGAGCTGTCCCCTTCAGGGCCTGGGTCACCTGGACGTGTAACCTGTCTGCACACCATCTCCCCACTTCCTGCTGCCTCCTGCCCCTACTAAGGATTCCGCAGCTGGTCTGCCTGCCACTGCCCGCCCGGGGGATCTCTAGGTCCACTGGGTTCTCTGCATCGTGAAAGCCCTAAAGTCACACTGTGTCCAGACAGTGTCAAATCAAGGACAGGGCACCGAGGATTAGACCACCCCCAGGCTGGCAAGGTCTGGGAATTGATGGCTACCGGTGAAACGACACACTCCGGGTCTGCGCGCACGCACGCGCACACGCCCCCGGCCCCAGCAGGCTACATGTTCCCGCTGGGAGATTCGTGGCACAGAGTTAAGGCCCAGGGCGGCCTGGAACCCTGATGGACGACTACAGGTCGGCAAAAGTGTCCTCCTATTCCACGCCGCCCAGATTTGAACTTCTGAAGCCGAGAAAGTGGTAATGAGGCCGACTGCAGGCCGCAGGCCCCTTCTGGAAACACCCCAGGGCTCGGATCAGCTGACCCCTGTCCGCATAAGGCCCCTGGTGAGGGGTGTGGGCACCTCCTGCTGCTCCATGGGGTCAGATGCAAGTCCCTGCCCGCAGCCGGGCCCCAGACTCAGTCATGCCCAGTGAGACCGGCACAGGTTCGTCACCTGACCCCACCAGCCCACGTGCTGCAGGCCCTTCCTACCCTAGGCATTTGGGTCATTCGGTAATAATCTAAGTCCTGCTCTGTGCTGCACAGATGCTTGAGCAAGGAAGAGCAAGGCTAGGAGGAGGGACAGATGGGGGGCTCAGGGGACCCAGGAATTTGCCCATTTGCTGCAAGGGAGGGGGAAAGGGGGAGGAGGAGGCTTGGGGCAGGGCACGGGAAAGGGCACCACCTACCGATGTGGCAAGTATTTGAATCCACTGATCCCTAACCCACGTGGAAACCCATCCTGCCTCAAGCGCCCCCCATTGCCCTTGATCTGACTAAACCTGGAATATCAGTGTATCAGAATAGGGACTGGCTACACAAATGTCAGAAAGAGCAGGATTCACATAAATGCTCCAGTCAGCCTTACAAGAGCAGGGTCGGCTCTGAGGGGCCGATGTGTCACTTACGTGGACCAAGAAGGTAGCCAGCACTGTTCAGGGTCCAGCCTCTCTTTTCCTTCACCTTAAATGGGAGAAAAGGGTCATGCCGGGTACAGGCTCGGGGGCTCAAAGAAGCCCCGAAGGCAGCTTCTGTTTGCACAGCCCACTACGGTGGTCTGGGAAGCAGCTGCCCACTTGATACTCACATAATTTACATCACAAAAGCCCTTTATTTTTTTACTCTGCCCCATAATAGGCCAAGTGATGCAAACCCTTAAAGCAAGATGGACAAGAAAGGAAGCTCGCCAGGCTTTCCAGGCATGACGTGGGCATTTGAATAATGCATACACTTCTGGGCTGCAAGAAATTCCAGCTTTGCCCCCAAATAAGCTATGTTTGACATGAAACAGGACTGCTTGCTTTTCCGAAGAATTCACTCTAGAGCCACAACCCTCAAACACACGGGGCACCCGCTTGCTGCTAAGCCATGTTGAGGACACACGTCGTTGAGGGCGCCTGCGGGTAACTGGGCTCCCTCCCGCGGGAACTCATCTACGGAGCTAAGTACAGGAGCCTCCAGATTCTCCTGGTTTATAGCCAGGAGCGAGTCGTGTGCTGGCAGAGGCGCCAGGCCGGGAGGATCCCGCAGCGTCTCGGCGCGACCCCCGCCCGGGGCTGCAGGACCCCAGCCCCCCGCGCCCCCCGCGGCCCGCCCGCCGCGCACCACTGTTGGCGCGCGCCCCCCGCCGGCCCGCGTCTGTGCGGTGCCCCCCTGAGCAGGGGACACGCGCCCGCACTCACCGGCGACCCGAGCCCCGGGGTGGCCGAAAGGGCCGCGGCGAGGAGCAGCCAGGCGAGGAGGAGGGCGCAGCCGCCGGGCATCTGCGAGGGAAGATGCGGAGCGGGCGTGGGGTGGCCGGCGGGTCCCGGGCGCACGTCGGGCGGAGGCTCGGACGCCGCTGCCCGCGGCTGGCGCGGAGGCAGGGGCCAGCGCGTCGCCGACCGAGGGCCGTGCGACGCCTCCCGCGGCCGAGCCCGGGCTGGGGGCGAGGGGCCCCGGGATCGTCCAGCGGCGGGCGGCGCGGAGCAGGGGGAGGAAGGGGCCCGCCTCCCGCTGGGGCCCCCAGGGCGCGCCGTACCTTGAGCGGCGGCGGGGCCGGGGCGGCGGGGTCCCGGGGTGGCGGCGGGGCCGGGGCGGCGGGGGTCCCGGGTGGCGGCGGGGCCGGGGCGGCGGGGGTCCCGGGTGGCGGCGGGGCCGGGGCGGCGGGGGTCCCGGGTGGCGGCGGGGCCGGGCGTCCGGGCGTGTCGGCCGGGTCTGGCCGGGCCGGGGCGCTCCGCACCTGACGGGGCCTCAGGACCACGGGGAGGAAGCGAGGCGGCTGGGCTCCCTCGACGTGTCGGCGGCCCCGAGCTGCCGCCGCTATTTATGCGCCGCGTCACCGGGCTCAGGGCCCGCCTCCCCGCCCCCGCGGAGCCCCGAGCCCCGAGGCGGGCGGGAGTGACCGTAGCGCAGTGGTCCTGCGCACCGGGGGAGGTGCGGGGGCGGTGGAGCGACCCCAAACTCCGCGGGGGAGCCCCCGTCACCCCTGCAGAGATCTCATCACCCCTGCAGAGAGCCCCCACCACCCCGCAGAAAGCCCCCGTCACCCCACAGAACCCCCATCACCCCTGTAGAGAATTTTCATCACCCCCGCAGATAGCGCCCCCATCACCCTGCAGAGAGGCTCCATCGCGCCATGGGAGAGTCCCCATACACTGAATAGGGAGCCCCCATCAGCCCACACAGGGAAACCCCGGAAGCTGTGGGGGAGAGCTCTCAACATCCTACGGCCCACGTCATTGCTGCGTCAGTGAGCCCCATGCCCATCACCCCCAACCCAGGTCCTAGCGGGGGAGAGAGGCCCCCACCTACACACTGCATTCTCTTGCTGCAGAAGCTGGGACAGGGTCCTCCCCTGCCACACCCCCCTGGAGGATGAGCCCTCAGTCCAAACTGGCCCAGTGGGGTGGTCCTGGGGCAGGGGTGGGGTGGGGTGGGGTATGGAGCAGGTTCCCCCTCCCCTTACACCTGCGCCCTGGCTGGAGAGTGGGTTCAGCCTGGGAAGCCATTCATGGCGGGGAGGGCAGGAGGCCCAGCTTCACTGCCTCCAGTGCTCAGTGGCCTTTGGGGTGCCCAGACCCCTGTCCGATTTTGCTAAAAAGGGGCAAACCAGCCAGGGCCGTTGGACTGTCTCTGGAGGGCTGAATGACTTCCAGCCTGGGAGCTGTGGGTCCCCCCCAACATCCCACAGGTACTGCTGTCTCGGAAAGGGTCCCTGGCGATGTTCCCCATGGCTCCCTGCTCGGGGACACAGAGCTGTTTTGAGCAGGGTCAGATAGTGGTGGAGCCCTTGGGGGTCTGGGGAACCCGGAGTGAGACAAGCCGCAGCTCCTAGAGGCAGCCAAGGGGTGGGTGGGCGGGCAGGGCAGCAGGAAGAGGCTGTCCTGTGGCAGGTGGCAGAGATCACGCAGGAGCAAGGACCTCCTTGGCGTACTCCGTGAATCCTTCCTTAGTTTGGGCCAGGCCCAGACTGTTCTTTCCCCTGCTCACAGACATCAAGGGACATACATACGAGAGCAGCATCTCCAGGCTTCCAAGGAAGGATGAGGCCATGGCTGAAAATCGGCCAGAGCTCCTCCTGCCACCTGGCTGGATCACTGACCACTGAAGTCCTCGGCAGTGGCCGACCCAGGCGGCCCTCGCCTGTAGGAGCCTGGAGGCCCCAGTTACTTACCAGGAGGCTGCAACCCTCTCGCCACCCACCAAGCTGGACAGTAGGTCGGTTGACGTCACTGGGGACCCTGGAGTGAACAAGACACAGGACAGATGATCATGATGATGCCACCTGGCAGGTGTCCTACTTACAGTCTTATGAACCTTCCTACACATAGCGGGAGAGCCGTTTGCCTCTGCTGGACCGGGAAGGACGCAGGGGCGCTGGAGGACTGGGGTCAAGGCCAGTTGGCTGGGAAGGAAGGAGCAGGACCCTAACCTGAGGTGCTGAGCACCCGCCCTGGTTTACTGGAGGGCAAGGAGGGGTGCTGTCTGGGAGACCTGAGTTGGACAGACTCCTGGCTGTGATGGGGGTTGTGGGGGGGGGAGTCTCAAGGGTACACTTGACTTCCTGTCACTCCTATTTTGGCAGACCGCGGGGTGGGAGGAGAATAAGGGGCAGGAGGCCTGACCAGGGGAGGGGACGGGGGATGGGGCTGTCGCCCTGGCTGCTTTGGTCAGTGGGGGCAGAGGGACAGCTGAACAGCTTTCTGTGACACCCTCTTGTGCCCTGTGTGCTCAGATGTAGAGGGCTTTGGGGATGTGCAGGCACCAGGCCACGGTGTCCCCAGCTACCTGAGAAATGCCACCACCTTCTGACAACTGCTGGAGAGACTGCTTTCATTCTGTAATGCTCGCTTTGCTCCCGAGAAGGAGCGCATCCCAGCGCATGGTACATCGTGGCCAATTCCCGCCTTCCTGCGTGTTCCATCGACGAGAGCGTGAGGACCCTTCTGCTCTCAATTTGCTTTGTCTGTCTGAAGAAGCAGCAGAAATCGTAAGCCAAAGTCCTTGGGACTAATTAAGAAATAGACTCCAAGCCCATCATCCCTCACATGGCTGGCAAGTGAGGCCTGTTTTGTTCAGCTTCCCACTGCTCTCATTGGGTTGGTGTACTCTTTGTTCCTTTTTTTTTTTTTTTTTTTTTACTTTAAAAGAAATTTACAGTAGTTTTTCTGATAAGAAGGCCTTTATTAAAAAGACATTTTGCCTTTAAAGCGTCATTCTCGCAAATGTATAGAGTGAGCAGGTAGAGAGACGCAGCTCTCCGCAGCATGAGACTCTCGTATGTCCGCCCAGATCCTAAAGAAAACGTGGCCACAGGCGGGTTGGGGGCCAGAACGCCCCGGCCAGGGAGCCAGCACTGAGGTCGCAAAGTGGGGAGAAGGCAGCCCTGCAGGCAGGTGGGACAGTCGCGTCACCCTTGTGAAGCGATGTGCTGTGGGGGCCAGGGGGGTGTCAGACTGTTTATCCACATAACAGCCCCCAGACCCTCCTGGAGGCAGAAGCCTGGGGCTGCAGGGCCACGAAGGCAGCCCGTGTAGGCCGTGGGGATGCTGGACCCCAACCCAAGGGGGCATTGACCCTATAACTGATTGAGAACACGAACATTCAAAAACAAACAAACAAAAATCTGTCCTTTGGCCACTTTTTCCAGATCTCTTGGAAAACTCCTAAGCGGACGTAAGCAATCTTCACAAACGTTGGCTAATTTGGAGACATGAGCTCAGAACAAATGTGCTTCTTCGAAGTTTATCAGGACTTTCACCAGACGGCCCTTGGGAGGACACCCCCCGTCGCTGCTCCTCCCTTACCCCCGGGCGAGGGGATTCTGCCCGCATCCTGGCAAGGGGCCGGCGACCCTGGCCCGGGAGACCTAGGAGCGCCCGGGAAGGCTGCCGGCGGACGGAGGCCTCTGCAAGTCACAGCGTCTTCACGCTGCGGCCTCGCTCCGCCGGCAGGTGCGCTCAGACAGACCCCTGGGAGGACAGGCGCCTGCTTGCCAGAACAGCCTGTGCTGGAACCCACAGCCAGCATTGTAATGGGCTCCGTGTGCTCAGCAGTGACCCAATGGGAGTCATTGTCAACCTGTCATCTTGAAGACGGCCCAGTGTGTGGCAGGCAAAATGGATCGCCATTAGAGTAATGGAAATCAAGCAGAAAGCATAATTTTACCCCCACATTGTGAGCTGGCTCATCTTCCCCCAGAAGCCCTGTTCACCACCACCCCCCAAAACCAACCCAAGTCTGAGAAGCAAAAAGAGTAAGGGTCCGGGAAAACCTAGGCCGTGGCCCGCACCGGAGCTCAGCACGCACCCCCAGGAAGGGAAGCTGTGTGCCCTGGGGGCCCGGCCTGCCCCCCTGGAGATCACAGTCCAGCGGAGACCCACACACAAAACAGTCATACACATGACCACCTCGTTATCATGAGAAGGAAGGAGGCTGACCTGACAGGTGAGCAGGATTGGGCAGGTGGGGCCCAGCCCATTCCAGGTGGAGGAGGTCCCAGGGGTCGGCCCTCATTCAGGTCCTTTTCCCTTGCTCCTTCCTGCTGCCTGGAGTGTGGATGCGAGGGCGAGAGTGGAGCAGCCATTCTGGGCCATGAGGTGATGACTTTGGATGGCAGTGAGACTGGAGGAGCGCAGGTCCCAGGGACACCACCCTTCAGGCCCATTTCACAACAGGGAGAAGTGAATTTCTCTCCTATTAAGAAAGGAACTTCTCTCCTGTTATTTGGGGGTTTTCTATTATAGGCAGCTGGAATGACTCCTAACAAATTCAATGTCTTCCACGAAGCAGTCAACGGATGTTTGATGAGTGAATTAATGAATGCAAACAGACGAAGGGATGTGCCACCCCCAGTGCTGGTAGGGAGCGAACACCGGTGAGAGGGGCTCCTGGAAAGGACAGGCTTGGAAAACAAGATGACAAAGAGTTAAGGGACACCACCCACCGACCCCACCACCACCTCACCACTTCCGGGCAGATCCTGCTGGCCAGCGCGTCCAGCTGTGACGGACGCAGTGACGTGGTCTCTTGTCATGGGTGGTGCTGGTGCCCCACAGAAAGCAGGCTTCTGTGGCTGCGGGGAGGAGGGCAGGGGTTAGCGATTAGCAGGCTCTGCCTTGAGCGGGTCCAAGACAGATGTTTGCATGATTGAGCATATTTGTAAAATTTGAAATGAGCTAAGAGCACAGTTAGTCTGGAACTTTCCACATCACCTTCCCTGTGCTGTGGTTGTGCTGACACAAAGTGGTGCTGGGGAGGCTGCCAACACTTTCGGATTCTCTCAGGGCAAGCTGGATCGGGGATGCATTTCTTTGGGGTTCGGTGGGGTGGCTCTGTTGGGTTCATGGTGAGGACATTACAGTGTGCACTTGGGCTGCTGCAGGCGGTCCTGGTGCGGGAATGGCTTCCAGGAACACCCCTGCCCACAGGGCCCCCTCCACTGGCATCGAGCCCGGTGGCCGAGAGTGCCCTACAGACTTGCAGCTCTGAAAGCTGCCCTCTCCCCAGGGGCACGGGGTTGAGCCAAGCCTGGGGGCGCTGGCAGAATGCAGACTGCAGCTTTGAAGGATCAGCTCGCACCTTCCGCGGGGGCCTTGGGGGCCATCGGACTCCACTAAGTCCACAACCACACACCAACTGCATCCCACACTCA